ATAGTGAGTACATCACTTTTGTGTTTTAGGAACAAACGAACAAACCCTCGTTTGAAATGTGGACCCGTGCCCTGATTTGAAATGCTGATTTTCAACCCGAACTGACTGTCAATCCTGAGAAAGGTCAAATCCCTCATTATGAAACCTTAACCCTGTCTTGAATCCTGTTTTGCAATGCAAATTAAGATAAACAAGTCCCACCCCTACTTTTAAACTCTTTTCCTTGACCGAGCCGCTAAACCAAACTTGAAAGCCTATTTTGCAATGCACCCTAACCCATGTTTGAAACCCGAAGCCTTAATTTGCCCCGTTTGAACCCCTGAACCAAGTTTTAGACCCTATTTCGATATCCTAATCCCAAGATAGAGGAGCAACCACTAATCGATGACGAATCAATTCTCAAATTTATCAATAATTATTTATTGGTGATTGATTCATCATTTTTACACCTTTTTTTTCCAATTGAAAATTCAGTGTTTAAACGGTCAATATTCGCCAATATCTGTTCTCCTCCATGATAGCAGACTGATAAAAGTTTTTTTTTTGCTTTGCTTTTACCCTGGAAAACCATGATTGACATTTATGCCAATTTTCGGATAATTTCGGGTCCAAAGCCATGACGTAATCATATTCATTGATGTTTTCTGCAATGATAATTTGAAATCATAATCTTGTTTTGGTATAAAGAGCTGGAAACATTTTTTTTTGTAGATCCGATTCATCGATTAATTGATAGATTAATCGATGATTAAAATTACGAAACCCAAACCAAAGCTGCTGCATTTTTTTTTAATCACGTTGCAATTGCGTTTGCGAGTGCACGAAGCGACGTGCTCGCTAATGTCAATCACATTCCCATTTTTAGCTCCGATGCCGTTTTTTTTTGTTTTTTTTTTAATATCGGAGAATAATGAATTGCTGTCAACGCCCGCGCACGTTATTTTTCCGCATTCAAGCGGCAGAGTTCAATAGGTTTAATCTGACTCTTTCCCCCCGCTGATAATTGTGTTTGTGCACCTGCGTGCGTCACGCTGCCTTTCACCGCCAACTGGCTAAATTATTCGAGTGAATTTGGCTTGATTAGCTCACCCGAATTATTCACTCGCACTTCCAGTTCCGCGTGACACGCTGAGCTGAATACCCGCGTGTGTGTACTGATTTGTCTTTTGTATTACGATATACAAAAGACTCTTTTCGGTGTACTGTGGAAATTAGCGATGTCGAACATTTCGCGAGTGACTGGTATAAACGCTTTGTGGGGAAAATGACCTTAAAATGGCCTCTTCAAACAAAAAAAATGGCAGACTTTCCGTGTCTTTTCAAATATGGATTCTTGAGATTTTTTTTGTGTTGGTCTCAGCATGATTGACATCCCTACCAAATTGCATGTAGGGTTGACTCCACGCCGCTCAAAAAAGAAATATATAAAAAAATCTTGGGAAATGATCGACTTGGAAACGACTAAAGTGATGCAAAAATGGCCGCTGCAAACACAAATGGCAGATTTCTGTGCCTTTTCAAATATGGCCTCTTGAGCCTTTTTTTTGAGGTCCAATCATGATTTATGTTCCAGAATGGCTGCTCCAAAGCAAAATGGCAGAGGACCTGGCATGGGTTGTTCGGATTTGTTTATGGGTCAATTCATTCTCATCATGCCTACCAAATGATATTGTGAAATGCCGATTCCACTGACGGGTGGGTGATACGGAGTTGAAAACGGCCACTACTGTGTCTCCTCGAGACTTTTTTTGTGGATCTGCTCGTAATAGACGTGCCGGCCAAATTTCATACTGCTAAGTGAATTTTAAAACTATCCACAGCTAGTTTGACAACGGCATACCATTTGAATGTTAAATGAAGGGCAAAATTAGCAAAACAGGAAAGTTTGGGCGCCATTCATTTTCTTGGAGAACTCTTTCGACAAGTATGCTTTTTTTGTTGAATTTATCTTAAGCGACTTCCAGGATTTGCAGAGATTTTTGTGTGTGTGTGTGTGTGTGTGTGTGTGTGTGTGTGTGTGTGTGTGTGTGTGTGTGTGTGTGTGTGTGTATAAAATGAAAACAGAGAGATGACTGGCGACTCTCCTGTGGTTTGAGTCTGGCGCAGGGATGCTAATTGGTCCCTTTTCCCTTTTTATCTTGGGCTGCGCATTTGTTTGAATATGACGACAGAAACCTCGATCACGGCAGATTGGGAGGAAGGTTGAGAATATCGTGAGGGGGAGAAGGCGGGGGAGGAGGATGATGATGATGATGCTGCTGCTTTTAGGAAGACAGACGGGCGGCCAGACAGACAAAACGTGCGGGGGAAGGAAAGTCAAGTCAAAAGTTGTGCATCAAGCCTTAGTTTGAGAGTTTAGATGAAGTGGTTTTCCTCATTTGAAATCTGCAACGTTTGCCACCGGGCTATTGCAGCATTTTATTTTTGTGAAATGACAACACTTGCCACGTTCGCAAACACTCGTGAGCAACTTCTTTAAATATCAGGACATTTTTCACATGAAATTAATATTATGAGCTTTTTTTTTTTTTGGGTGACTTTATGATGAGAATATTCCTACCTTTGTATTCCGCAGTAAATTTGCTAAAACTTTACTCTCTTAATACGACTTTTCTCGTAACGTTAAATGAAAAATAAAGAATATAATTGATATTATTTGAACTGCTGTTAAGCCCTTCATGTGACCTGTGGGGCTCATAAAAGGATATCGTACTCGAAACGTAGCGGACAAAAGCTAATGCTTGGGCAACGAGCCACATGCTGCTTCATCAAGACAGACGTTATTATCTGATGACATGTTAGCAGCACGCTGTGGTAAATTTCCATGCCCCGTTTTTGTTCCGCAGGTCACATGACTCGGCTTCCTTCCCACATTTGCATATCAGCGGTCCAAAGGGCGCCGCCGAGTCTAATAAAACGCAGATGGCGAGCGCAGTCAATAATTTTGATGAAAAAGCGGTGGAATTAGCTTTCCGTCTTCCTGGGTTATTGATTCCACCAAAAATCAAAGAAGGTGGGCTCATTTTTTTTTTTTTTCGCAAGGAAAAGGACTTTAATATCAACCAATTCCCCTGACGCGCACGAGGAATGAATACGCTGCTGTGGTATGCATATTTGCGTTGAGTTATTACATTTTGTGTTTTTTTTTAGTCGCATGTATTTTGTCGGAGGCATGAAATTTGAAAAATAAAGCTCTTTTGCCATAAGAATATGCTTGATGATCACCTTTTATGGCAGGAAGAGGAGAAATTGCAGAGCAGATGCACTTAGGGCAGTGAGCCACATGCTGCTTCACCAAGATCATTGCATTGGGTAAATCACGTTGGCACACTGGCGGTGCTGCCGAATGATTTTACCATCCTTGCTGTGACGGAGGAGGTATGCCAATGAATTGTGGTTAAATGTTGATAAAAACTACATGGCATGTATAATACACAGCAGTATCTTTGCTTTTTGTTGTTGTTGGTTGTTTTGGGGTTTTTTTTTGCTTTGTGTTGCGAGAAAAACTGGATTTACGAGACAGCTTCAAACGCAATCAGTTTTGTAACTTGGAAATGAAGGCAAACACCATTTAAGGTCAGATTTTCCACACTGGAGTCCAACAGGGCTCTGTTTTAGGTCCACTGTTTTCTGATTCTACTAACTTATTGACACGATAGATAGATAGATAGATAGATAGATAGATAGATAGATAGATAGATAGATAGATAGATAGATAGATAGATAGATAGATAGATAGATAGATAGATAGATAGATAGATAGATAGATAGATAGATAGATAGATAGATAGATAGATAGATAGATAGATAGATAGATAGATAGATAGATAGATAGATAGATAGATAGATAGATAGATAGATAGATAGATAGATAGATAGATAGATAGATAGATAGATAGATAGATAGATAGATAGATAGATAGATAGATAGATAGATAGATAGATAGATAGATAGATAGATAGATAGATAGATAGATAGATAGATAGATAGATAGATAGACATAAAAACAGTGTTATCAGCTTCTATCAGTTGTTCCCACTCTTATCAAAAAAGCAACTAAGCTGATGACATTCTGAGGTTTATTTTTCACCCATTTGGGCAGAATAAGAGAATATAGAGATGAAGCACAGAACTGTTTGGAGTTGAGCAATTTGCTTTTTCGTTGATTGATGGAAGAAAGGGCTGCTTGACGTTTTATCAAAATGAAGTCTAGCTCGGTCGTAAATGAATTCCTTGAAGGACGCTCCAAAAATGTGTTCTCCTGCCAACGCGACTGCTTTGATGGTAAAAATTGATTCCAAGGACATTAAAGTGAAACTCCCGTTGGCGTGCAAGTTTGTTTTCCAGGGAATTGTTTACCTCCGGGTAGCTGCGGCAACTACAAAGCAGCAGGCGGGCCCGATTAGGCAGGTGATAATTCGATCGAGCAGCTGTTCTGCATGATGGCTTTCCACCCAACCCCCACGGCAAAACTGCAGGAAAGAAAAAAAAAATCAGAGAGAGAACATCAAACACACCGAGAGATGATGTGTGTGTGTGTGTGTGTGTGTGTGTGTGTGTGTGTGTGTGGGTGGGTGCATGTTTGCATCTTATTTTACAAAAAACAAAATACAGTTTAGGTTGGAATTCGGGGGGGGGGAGCCATTCCTGAGCACACAATAATTGAGAACTATTTGCCACTAATGATCTGTAATAGGTCAGACTGGACGATTGTTTTTTTTCCCCATTGTATTTTTGAAAAGGCAAAGTAATGATATTGAATAATTTTGAAAATGTCATTAAATCACACAAAAGAATAAGTTACAATTTAAGATGAAATATAGACCACAAATAATTTACAATGTAGTCCTTTTGTGAAAACAATGTCCTGTTGAAAACTTTTCTTTTTTTACTTTTGTATTTTTGAAACTACAACGGAATGTAGTTATTTCATGCCGTAGATGGATTATTAAACTAAAAGTGAAATGAGATCACTTAAAGAGATCAAGGAAAAAAATGTTCACAGCATTTTGTTCAATAAATTGGCAGAATTTTATTGGAGAACAATGGCTTTGTGTACAAGGTAGATGCATGGTGTTGATGCTGGACTGATTATTCTTCAAAGTGTCAAAAAGCGCGAGAAAAACTTTGCGCCGCTATCAAGATCCTCGAAAAAAAAATAACTCCCTTGTGTTTCAAACGAAGGAATTAACGCGTCACTTTTTTTTTCCCCCCCTTCAGGCACCGCCACATGAAAAGTATCGCCGTGGCACCTGCTTCACTTTTGCCGCCACCTGCCATCCACAAGCACGCGAGGCGCGCTGCGCTGCTGCGTCGCTCATGTGATTAATGTTCAAATCATGGCCGCCGGCATCTCTCGGCATGTGTCTGGCGAGCACCTGGAAAGAGAAACAAACAATGTTAAGCCCTTCATGTGACCTGTGGGGCTCATAAAAGGATATCGTACTCGAAACGTAGCGGACAAAAGCTAATGCTTGGGCAACGAGCCACATGCTGCTTCATCAAGACAGACGTTATTATCTGATGACATGTTAGCAGCACGCTGTGGTAAATTTCCATGCCCCGTTTTTGTTCCGCAGGTCACATGACTCGGCTTCCTTCCCACATTTGCATATCAGCGGTCCAAAGGGCGCCGCCGAGTCTAATAAAACGCAGATGGCGAGCGCAGTCAATAATTTTGATGAAAAAGCGGTGGAATTAGCTTTCCGTCTTCCTGGGTTATTGATTCCACCAAAAATCAAAGAAGGTGGGCTCATTTTTTTTTTTTTTCGCAAGGAAAAGGACTTTAATATCAACCAATTCCCCTGACGCGCACGAGGAATGAATACGCTGCTGTGGTATGCATATTTGCGTTGAGTTATTACATTTTGTGTTTTTTTTTAGTCGCATGTATTTTGTCGGAGGCATGAAATTTGAAAAATAAAGCTCTTTTGCCATAAGAATATGCTTGATGATCACCTTTTATGGGAAGAGGAGAAATTGCAGAGCAGATGCACTTAGGGCAGTGAGCCACATGCTGCTTCACCAAGATCATTGCATTGGGTAAATCACGTTGGCACACTGGCGGTGCTGCCGAATGATTTTACCATCCTTGCTGTGACGGAGGAGGTATGCCAATGAATTGTGGTTAAATGTTGATAAAAACTACATGGCATGTATAATACACAGCAGTATCTTTGCTTTTTGTTGTTGTTGGTTGTTTTGGGGTTTTTTTTTGCTTTGTGTTGCGAGAAAAACTGGATTTACGAGACAGCTTCAAACGCAATCAGTTTTGTAACTTGGAAATGAAGGCAAACACCATTTAAGGTCAGATTTTCCACACTGGAGTCCAACAGGGCTCTAATATAGAGATGAAGCACAGAACTGTTTGGAGTTGAGCAATTTGCTTTTTCGTTGATTGATGGAAGAAAGGGCTGCTTGACGTTTTATCAAAATGAAGTCTAGCTCGGTCGTAAATGAATTCCTTGAAGGACGCTCCAAAAATGTGTTCTCCTGCCAACGCGACTGCTTTGATGGTAAAAATTGATTCCAAGGACATTAAAGTGAAACTCCCGTTGGCGTGCAAGTTTGTTTTCCAGGGAATTGTTTACCTCCGGGTAGCTGCGGCAACTACAAAGCAGCAGGCGGGCCCGATTAGGCAGGTGATAATTCGATCGAGAAGCTGTTCTGCATGATGGCTTTCCACCCAACCCCCACGGCAAAACTGCAGGAAAGAAAAAAAAAATCAGAGAGAGAACATCAAACACACCGAGAGATGATGTGTGTGTGTGTGTGTGTGTGTGTGTGTGTGTGTGTGTGTGTGTGTGTGTGTGTGTGGGTGGGTGCATGTTTGCATCTTATTTTACAAAAAACAAAATACAGTTTAGGTTGGAATTCGGGGGGGGGGAGCCATTCCTGAGCACACAATAATTGAGAACTATTTGCCACTAATGATCTGTAATAGGTCAGACTGGACGATTGTTTTTTTTCCCCATTGTATTTTTGAAAAGGCAAAGTAATGATATTGAATAATTTTGAAAATGTCATTAAATCACACAAAAGAATAAGTTACAATTTAAGATGAAATATAGACCACAAATAATTTACAATGTAGTCCTTTTGTGAAAACAATGTCCTGTTGAAAACTTTTCTTTTTTTACTTTTGTATTTTTGAAACTACAACGGAATGTAGTTATTTCATGCCGTAGATGGATTATTAAACTAAAAGTGAAATGAGATCACTTAAAGAGATCAAGGAAAAAAATGTTCACAGCATTTTGTTCAATAAATTGGCAGAATTTTATTGGAGAACAATGGCTTTGTGTACAAGGTAGATGCATGGTGTTGATGCTGGACTGATTATTCTTCAAAGTGTCAAAAAGCGCGAGAAAAACTTTGCGCCGCTATCAAGATCCTCGAAAAAAAAATAACTCCCTTGTGTTTCAAACGAAGGAATTAACGCGTCACTTTTTTTTTCCCCCCCTTCAGGCACCGCCACATGAAAAGTATCGCCGTGGCACCTGCTTCACTTTTGCCGCCACCTGCCATCCACAAGCACGCGAGGCGCGCTGCGCTGCTGCGTCGCTCATGTGATTAATGTTCAAATCATGGCCGCCGGCATCTCTCGGCATGTGTCTGGCGAGCACCTGGAAAGAGAAACAAACAATGAGCTGTTGGAAAGAGAGGAAAAAAAAAAAAAAAAAGACCTGAAACGTTGTCAATCTCCGGAGTCTTTCCGCCGTCTCGCTCGCCGCCATCCATCACGTCACTTCTTCTTTTGCTTTAGTACGCTGATGTGTTTTTTTTCTTTGCTGCAAATGGGAGGGAAAAAAATGTAAGCTTTTTTTTGTAAAGGAGAGAGAACGCGTGAAGTGATGCATGTGATTGCTCCTCATTGTTAATGTATTTATTTTTGTACGACGTGCACACGCACCAACAGGTTATCCACACTGGAAGCAGCGAAACAAAACACAATCCAACAGGGGCCATTTGAGGTTGGATGCGTCGTTGAACGTCTCAATCAATTAAAATATTGTGCTATATGTGTCATGTTTTGATTCTGGATTAGAGTAAGGCAAAAACAAACTTTAAAAAAAATGAAATAAAATGATTAAGATATACAAATAGCTGTTTTTTTTTTTTTTCGCAAGGAAAAGGACTTTAATATCAACCAATTCCCCTGACGCGCACGAGGAATGAATACGCTGCTGTGGTATGCATATTTGCGTTGAGTTATTACATTTTGTGTTTTTTTTTAGTCGCATGTATTTTGTCGGAGGCATGAAATTTGAAAAATAAAGCTCTTTTGCCATAAGAATATGCTTGATGATCACCTTTTATGGCAGGAAGAGGAGAAATTGCAGAGCAGATGCACTTAGGGCAGTGAGCCACATGCTGCTTCACCAAGATCATTGCATTGGGTAAATCACGTTGGCACACTGGCGGTGCTGCCGAATGATTTTACCATCCTTGCTGTGACGGAGGAGGTATGCCAATGAATTGTGGTTAAATGTTGATAAAAACTACATGGCATGTATAATACACAGCAGTATCTTTGCTTTTTGTTGTTGTTGGTTGTTTTGGGGTTTTTTTTTGCTTTGTGTTGCGAGAAAAACTGGATTTACGAGACAGCTTCAAACGCAATCAGTTTTGTAACTTGGAAATGAAGGCAAACACCATTTAAGGTCAGATTTTCCACACTGGAGTCCAACAGGGCTCTGTTTTAGGTCCACTGTTTTCTGATTCTACTAACTTATTGACACGATAGATAGATAGATAGATAGATAGATAGATATATAGATAGATAGATAGATAGATAGATAGATAGATAGATAGATAGATAGATAGATAGATAGATAGATAGACATAAAAACAGTGTTATCAGCTTCTATCAGTTGTTCCCACTCTTATCAAAAAAGCAACTAAGCTGATGACATTCTGAGGTTTATTTTTCACCCATTTGGGCAGAATAAGAGAATATAGAGATGAAGCACAGAACTGTTTGGAGTTGAGCAATTTGCTTTTTCGTTGATTGATGGAAGAAAGGGCTGCTTGACGTTTTATCAAAATGAAGTCTAGCTCGGTCGTAAATGAATTCCTTGAAGGACGCTCCAAAAATGTGTTCTCCTGCCAACGCGACTGCTTTGATGGTAAAAATTGATTCCAAGGACATTAAAGTGAAACTCCCGTTGGCGTGCAAGTTTGTTTTCCAGGGAATTGTTTACCTCCGGGTAGCTGCGGCAACTACAAAGCAGCAGGCGGGCCCGATTAGGCAGGTGATAATTCGATCGAGCAGCTGTTCTGCATGATGGCTTTCCACCCAACCCCCACGGCAAAACTGCAGGAAAGAAAAAAAAATCAGAGAGAGAACATCAAACACACCGAGAGATGATGTGTGTGTGTGTGTGTGTGTGTGTGTGTGTGTGTGTGTGTGTGTGTGTGTGTGTGTGGGTGGGTGCATGTTTGCATCTTATTTTACAAAAAACAAAATACAGTTTAGGTTGGAATTCGGGGGGGGGGAGCCATTCCTGAGCACACAATAATTGAGAACTATTTGCCACTAATGATCTGTAATAGGTCAGACTGGACGATTGTTTTTTTTCCCCATTGTATTTTTGAAAAGGCAAAGTAATGATATTGAATAATTTTGAAAATGTCATTAAATCACACAAAAGAATAAGTTACAATTTAAGATGAAATATAGACCACAAATAATTTACAATGTAGTCCTTTTGTGAAAACAATGTCCTGTTGAAAACTTTTCTTTTTTTACTTTTGTATTTTTGAAACTACAACGGAATGTAGTTATTTCATGCCGTAGATGGATTATTAAACTAAAAGTGAAATGAGATCACTTAAAGAGATCAAGGAAAAAAATGTTCACAGCATTTTGTTCAATAAATTGGCAGAATTTTATTGGAGAACAATGGCTTTGTGTACAAGGTAGATGCATGGTGTTGATGCTGGACTGATTATTCTTCAAAGTGTCAAAAAGCGCGAGAAAAACTTTGCGCCGCTATCAAGATCCTCGAAAAAAAAATAACTCCCTTGTGTTTCAAACGAAGGAATTAACGCGTCACTTTTTTTTTCCCCCCCTTCAGGCACCGCCACATGAAAAGTATCGCCGTGGCACCTGCTTCACTTTTGCCGCCACCTGCCATCCACAAGCACGCGAGGCGCGCTGCGCTGCTGCGTCGCTCATGTGATTAATGTTCAAATCATGGCCGCCGGCATCTCTCGGCATGTGTCTGGCGAGCACCTGGAAAGAGAAACAAACAATGAGGTGTTGGAAAGAGAGGAAAAAAAAAAAAAAAAAGACCTGAAACGTTGTCAATCTCCGGAGTCTTTCCGCCGTCTCGCTCGCCGCCATCCATCACGTCACTTCTTCTTTTGCTTTAGTACGCTGATGTGTTTTTTTTCTTTGCTGCAAATGGGAGGGAAAAAAATGTAAGCTTTTTTTTGTAAAGGAGAGAGAACGCGTGAAGTGATGCATGTGATTGCTCCTCATTGTTAATGTATTTATTTTTGTACGACGTGCACACGCACCAACAGGTTATCCACACTGGAAGCAGCGAAACAAAACACAATCCAACAGGGGCCATTTGAGGTTGGATGCGTCGTTGAACGTCTCAATCAATTAAAATATTGTGCTATATGTGTCATGTTTTGATTCTGGATTAGAGTAAGGCAAAAACAAACTTTAAAAAAAATGAAATAAAATGATTAAGATATACAAATAGCTGGTTGGCAATCAGCTCCTTTGATTAAAAAAAAAAAAATGAGTGAGTCGTCAAAGAGAATTTCACCATGTCTCTGCCTTTCCGAAAAAAAGCAATTTAACAACATGAAAAGATTTTGTCCTTGCTGTCCGACAGCCGATGTGGACGTATAAAATCAAACAAAGACGCGCTCCGATCAAAGCTGGATCCACACAGTCTTGATTAAGTCTCAGCCGAACAATAAGACACGCCTGCAGTTCTTTCACAGGGGTACTCACATCTTTTTTTTTTTTTTTTAGCTCGTTCCTTCGTTCGAAAAAAAAAAAAAAAACAAAGAAAAAAGAGCTTCAATTGTCGAATATGCAATTACAGACTATGGCACACACTTAGAATTCCATTGCTGTAATTATGTATTCTTTTTCCACACCTAAGATGCTCCAGTGTGAATGCTATTATGTTGTTTTTCAGGAGTGCCAACACAAAATTGGGTGGAGATCTCAATCGCAAAAGGCTGCACGAATCCCCGAAACGCAATAGGAGTTAGCCATTTTGGTTTGAAGCAACACTTGTTTGCGTTGACAAACTCCCACTAGGGAATTTGCCCCAATGAGACCCAATCGAAAGCAGGTCGCCGAGAGAGAAACGTTTGGCTAAATTGCGAAGCTTATTTGCCTATGTCGTCCAATGTGGGTGGAGCATAGCATCAAAGTTGGAAGAATCATTTCTGAAGATTCTCCCTGAAAGGTTAACGAGGCTTTAATTCATCATTCTGTTCCAATCTGTAGTCATATTATTTGTGTTCGTATCATACTTGCGTGTGCCATTTTTTTTAACATTATCGGGAAGGAAACTGCAAATACAACTCACCAGAAGAGTGCAGTTGTCTTGATTCAACTTTTGCGAATCACTTTGACCTGGATGATGTAAACATATAATTTTTAGCAAGCACGTTGCTATTTCCATCTTGATATTGTGACGTTAAAATAACGTGATAATGTCGATAATGCTTACCATATGTGTTCAGTATTTTTTCATGCATTTCTATAACACCGATCAATACTTTTTCTATGATACCAAACCGTTTTCAGAATGGCGTCTTTTATTTTAAATAGCACAATTGCCTCAGGAACATTTGACTCTCTCGACAATTCACGTTAACCACTAATGGCGTCGAAGCTTCATCAGAGCGCGCGTGGAGTGTGTGCCTAATAAAGAAAATAGCTCTTGGTTCAATAAGTTCAATCAGTTGTTTGAACGTGGGTGCAAATTTGCGCGCCATTGTGTTTGCGCAAGCTGTTGCTCCCGCGCGCCTGCCATTTTCGCCCATCTGTAAAAGGCTCCCCAGTCAATCTGTTGCGTTTGCTGCCAAATGAGCAAGCGCGCATTGATGGTGTTTGCCGGCGACTGCTCCAAGTGACTAAAACAAAGGCGGCGAGGCAGATGAGACGGTCCTTTCATCTTCGCCAGGGTACATTTGGATTTCCAGAGGGTGATATTTTCCTCCAATTCAGATGGTTTGAGTCAAGCAATGTTTTTTTTTTTTTTAAATAATGGATTCATGCAACGCGTATAACTAACATGACACTTCTGCAGCTGACAATGACAGTTGAGGATTTCCATGTTATTCTGGTCAGTGTCCCTCGAAAGGTGATGTACAGCGGACTCGAGCATATGTGTAGCAAGGCATTCGCAAAATGAACTATTTACTATTTTTTTGGGGTGTGTGTGTGCAACAAACTAACTAAAAGCACATGTACATGAGAAACCGACCTTGCTTGTTGCATCATCTTTAAAAAGACCCGCGGCTCTAAAATCTGCCAAAGGTGCATCAACAAACACGATTGCGCAAAAGCTGTGAATACTTACGATGACATATGATTTATTTCAAAAGATTTTTTTTTTAAACAATACTGTTTGGATTTAAATATATTGCATATCTTTGAGCATATTTGTATTTATTGGGGAATTACAGTACGGCGGTCCCGCCAACCCTTTGCGAAATCATTCCATCCAACATGCCTGCAGTTCATATACTCCTTTACTGGCCGGTTGCCGTGACCCAAATATGACCGAATGTTACAGCTCATTCCGCGCTTTGGCAAACTCAAAACATACTCAGACTGGCTCTCTGACAGTGAATTATGTAAATACGAGCGGATCTGCCAGCCCCATTTGCATGGAGGCTTGAATAGTAACAGTTATTACATTGGTGTCATCCAAGTGTTATTTCTCACCTGTGTTAGAGAACACACGGTGGGAGGAGGAAGCGGAGGAGGAGGAAGCGGGTCAATGAATATTTCATGAGTTTCATTACTGCATATTTATCATGCCTTCTACCGTTCAGTCAATCCGTTGGCGTCTTTGCCACCGGGCCATCTTTTAAGCTATGTGTGGCTGAACAATCACCTCTCGGTATATGTGACACATATTAGGTGACGTGGGACGTAATGCAGCCATGCGTGGCATCACGCACAAGGCAAAAGCCATATACAGTACTGTATGTGTGGTGCAGTGCTTTTTTTCCCCCCTCCCCAAATTAATTCTAAAAATAAATAAACAATACAGCCATATCGGCAGCCGTAATGCGGAAGGACGCGTTGTTTCATGTTGATACGGGAGAGGGAAGGTTTCCCCGCATGCCGAACAAAGAGCTGACGTGACTCCGAGGCTTTGTACATGCCTGTACTGTACTTTACGTGTCCGCTCAAACAAGGCGCGTGATTGGTCCCCGGGCGCCATATCGACCAATGAGAGCATGAGTGGATTTATTCCGTGAGCTGCTTGGCTGGATCATTGGCTTGCATCATTCCCGCCTCACCCGGCATTTTCCCTCGTCTCGCATACGGTATCTTGTTGAAACGATAATTTTTTTGGATAAATTAAGCTGCGCTCCAACCCCTTGCCGCCGCCGAAGCAACGCGTTCCGGCTGGGTGGGAGAATTTAAGCCCGCTCGTCGGAGATGGGTCCATCAACAAGGACACATTGCTACATTTTGATCTGGACTAGTAAGAAGACGAGATGAACGTCATAGCGCTACCATCACCGTGTTTTTCTCCAATTTAAAAACCTCAGCTACACCGTCAGCGCCTCCAGCAGAAGAGTCTGAACCAACACAAGCCTCTTCATCAATCTCAATGATGATGGCAATGTTGATGAATGTTAATTCCTGTTTAAGGTTTTACAATTAAAGATTGAAGTAAATATGTGGACTGCTGTAATCTTTGTCTCCAATATGAATATTGTTTACACATTTAACATGTTGGACCACACATACACATACACGAAAATTCAGGCCAACAAATTAGGAGAGTAAACACACACGCGCGCTCACAGTGCTCACAGCTTTTCGGCAAACGAAGGAAAATGTCATCAACCGCATCGTCTGTCGTCCTTTTGGCTCGTTTGCACCCTCGTTCCTTTTAGCGTCGACTGCACAGCAAACAGAACAGAACAAACACGAGTTCATATAAATGTCATTTCAAGAAACGAATAGCTCATTTGCATACTTTTGCTTCCTTGTTTCCACACGCGCAGACACTCACGCACACTCACACACAAGCAATGCTATTTCCAATCCAATCAATGTGCGTCGCTCACCTCTGTGACATCTGCAGGAAA